CTCAGTAATTATTGTAGATAAAATATTGTCAGTCATACTTGTATCAAAGCCAATGTAGGCGGGTTGCTTCCATTTATCAAAAAAATCCACAAGGAAAACAATTCCTGTAGCTGGCTGTATATCACATATCACAAAAAAAGAGGTTAGTCTTCGTAAGTGGGTATATTTATTTAAAAACCCGTAAAAGGGCTACATCAAAAAAACAAACGTTTTCGGACTAAACAGTCCATCATCAGGTTTTAAAATCGCTAGGTTAAAATGCCTGAGCCACCAGAATACATGGGTAAAAACCCTTTAAATTACATATAGTTATAAAAGATTATACATCTTGTTGTTTAAAAACTGTGATGTTCAGTATTAAATTAAATATGACTTCAGGTAACTGAATAATCAGTTGCATACTGAACATCACAGTTTTTAAACAACAAGATGTATAATCTTTTATAACTATATGTAATTTAAAGGGTTTTTACCCATGTATTTTGGTGGCTCAGGCATTTTAACCTAGCGATTTTAAAACCTGATGATGGACTGTTTAGTCCGAAAACGTTTGTTTTTTTGATGTAGCCCTTTTACGGGTTTTTAAATAAATATACCCACTTACGAAGACTAACCTCTTTTTTTTTGAAATCGTAGGCTTCCACGGCCAGAGTCAGAATTATAGTTTATTCGTCTTCCGGGTTTGGACCGTGTCATTTGTGAGTGACCCAAAAGTGGGTTCATCTCGACGTTTCGCTACAATTGTATGTAGCTTCTTCAGAAGAACAAAGAACAAGAAAAAGAAAAAGAAGACAGGAAGATGGGTAGTTAGCAACGGTAACTCAGTTACTCAACGCAACCAGAGGCGAATACTAACTACCAAGATGGGCATTTGGTCACAGTAACTCAACTACTCAACGCAGCCAGAGGTGAAAACCAAATGCCAGGACAGGGATTCACGTCCAACAGCTCAGAACACTAACGCGTCGAGAGGCGGGGAGTGAATCTGTGGCTGCGTTGAGTAGTTGAGTTACTGTGACCAAATGCCCATCTTGGTAGTTAGTATTCGCCTCTGGTTGCGTTGAGTAACTGAGTTACCGTTGCTAACTACCCATCTTCCTGTCTTCTTTTTCTTTTTCTTTGTTCTCCTGAAGAAGCTACATACAATTGTAGCGAAACGTCGAGATGAACCCACTTTTGGGTCACTCACAAATAACACGGTCCAAACCCGGAAGACGAATAAACTATAATTCTTTTTTTTTTATTTATCAAAAAGTCCTCTAGCCATCACTATTTGCATATACCTATTGGAGCCAACCTATTCACACTTTTTTTGGTCATATTTATATTTGACACAGACTTTCATTTGATCATAGGACAAGGCGGCTACTCTTAGTAGTTCACTTTTTCATTTTCCACAACATACATCACCTGAAGTAAATCTCATAGGACTAGATTAGATCCAAGATTAATGTGTACAGCCCATTTTTGTAATGTTTATATTGCAGGGTATTTCTTAGATATAAATAACACCTTTTACTAAATTATCTTGTGAAAGATTAAATTATCTATGTGAAAGCTTTTGAAATTTCTTCCACTTCATGTGAATGCACCACTAAGAAGTCTTCAATGATAGCTTTTTGTGTTTTCATTGCTACTCTTTTATCACTTCTTGCTGTAGGTTTACACTTTGTTTTGTTTTGAAACATCTCCCAGAGATTTTAAGTTTTCGCTTGGAATTGCTACAAAATAGTGATTATAATAAACAGAAATACCTCCATCCTTTAATTTCAACTTAGGCCTAGTTCCCATTATTCTAGCATACATACCATCCATAAAATCATTCTTCATGAAATGATTTCTATATACTGTAGCAGTTTTTATATTTATTTTATCTTTTCGGCAACAGTGCATAATCCATATTTCTTCCAATTTTGTATCTTTGGTAAACGTGAAAAATACTATTTGTTTATCAGCATCTGTAGACTTCTTGTTTTTATAAAAATTATTTTTACAAATGGCCATACTCCAACATGTGTCTGGTATTCTAAAATTTTATCAGCATTATTATTACGGTTACACAATGACATTTTAACGTTTTAACCTCCCTTATAGATATATAAATAAATATTCTTTTATTCTTTTAAATTTAATTTAAACAAATCTTTTGCGATTTTTAAGTGATTAAATCTTCCTATGTGATGACATAGGAAGACACCCAGTCCTTCTACATTAACTACAAAAGATTCTAAGGAATTACTCGATATATTCAATTTTCAATGTTAACGCCTTTCTTTAGCTAACTCTTAATTTTTTATTTGGTTTTTTTATCTCTTTTTTTGCTTATTTATGTTTTACTTATAATTCATATCAATATCTACAGCTAGAGACTTATTAGCTTTCTAAATGTCACGAGATTTTACCTCCCCGCAATTTTAATTTTAATTCATTAAGTAACTTTTATCTACTAAGTAATGGATTCCACCGTTATTTGATGGACATTCATTTTATTTAACAATAAAATATTGAAAACTTTAGTTGTCAAAACTTCCACAAAATTTATTATAAATGATTATTACTACAGCTGTTTCAGCAGAGTGTCTTTCTCAAGTGATCTATTTTTGGTATGCGTTTACACTTTATAGTCTTTAACTGAATAAATTGAGGAGGGGAGAACTGTTTGTGGACATTCAGAATTATATCTGTATTTTTTAGTCAATTGATTTCCATAAATTCTAATAAAAATAGCTTAAGGCCTTTATTTTGAATGTGAAGAATTTGAAATTCGTCATTAAAAGAATGGTTATAGTCTAGAAGGTGAAGTGCGTACGTATAATCTGCTTTTCTATTATTGAAAGTCTTTTTATATTCTGCTATATGTTTGTTTAAAATTCTACCAGTTTGACCGATGTAAGTTTTTGGGCAGTCGCCACATTTAAGCTTGTATACGCCACTGTGTAAGCACTTTTTCTTTTGGCTCTTCTTCTTAACATATTTGCCTAAGATGTTGTTTGTTCTGAAAGCTCGCCGTAGGGCTCACGGAGATGAGAATACAGCAGGGGCAAGTTATCCCTGCCTGTCGTAAGAGGCGACTAATAGAAGGGAATGAAAAGGTGGAGAGCTACAGTTCGAGGTGTCGGGTTTGTGAGACGAACGCAGGGCGCTTCGGCATTACGGTCACCGGTCTACATTCCTGGTATCCGACGTCTGATAAGCCTCTCGTGGGACCACTCTACTCTTATTCCACAGAACCAAGGTGAGGTTGAACGTGCTGCGTCCCTTATACACCCTTTCCTCATTAAGGGCATGGGGTTACGGCACGTACCCACCTTGGAGACTAAGAGTGGTAGAGGACAGCTCCTCGGTGGCTACCTTTACCTGTCTACGTGCGAGGTCGAGCCTCGATCTGCGTTCACCTTTACGACCCGGTAGATACCCGGGGATAACGGGCGGGTGTGCATAACGCAACACAGGTACTACGGGGAGGGTGGAGGCCCGCGATGCTTCTTGCAACGCGCCTGCCTCAAATGGTGTCGGACTCGTAGGGGCTAGTGGCTAGCTAAAGGTCGTATGCCTTAAGGTCAGGTAGACCAGGGTCCTGCCAGCATTTTATTGTTGAAGGGTGCACGAATTTCGTCAATGTTCTAAAAGTTCTTGTTATTCCTTTAATTTTTATGTGTTTGGCTATTTTTGTTGATATCCTGTATATATAACCGAGCAGAAGGTACTGGGTATTTTCTCTGGTAGTGGAAATACTAATTTCAGGGCTTTTTAAAGAAATTTTGGATTTAAAATTTTGTTTATTGTTTGTTCGTTGTAACCATTGTTTACTGCTATTTGCTTAATGATATCCAATTATGTCCTGAAGTTGTATTTTGAACTATTTTGACTAAGGTTTCAGTATTTAACTGTTGTTCTCTTTCATAAAGTCACAAAGGAAATTAATAGCATTTATTTACTGACAAATAATAATGGTGCGTCATAAATTTTCTTTGAAATATATATTAAGCTACATAAAAAAACTCTGTCTTAATAATAAACTCAAATAAAAATATAAAATAAAAAAAGACCAAAAATAACATACCAAACAATTGAATTAGCATACTGCGGGTCTGTTAATATTTGTCAAATTTGACCAAAAGTCAAATCAAATCTTTTGATTGAAATCAAAAGATTTGATTTTATTATATTTTATTTTATTCCATTTTATTCTATTTCGTTCTATTTTATTTTATTTTATTCGTCTTTATTCCATTTTATTTTGCTTTATTTTATTTTACTCTATTTTATTATATTTTATATTATTTATTTTTGTTTTATTTTAGTTTTATTTTATTTATTTTATTTTTATTTTATTTTAAAATTTTATTTATTTTATTTTTATTTATTTTATGTATTTATTTTAATAAACATTTTCTGACTTACCGCTGACCTTAAATTTACCCAACAACATATACTGCCAAGTGTCCCTTTAGGAAAAAACATTTCAACGTTGTCGTTGATGATCGTTCAGCTCATTGAGTTGCGTTTTTTCTCGTGATAAAAAACCGTTATCCATTCACTAGGTGAACAGCTAAATTAACTACATTGAGCATTGAGATACCGTTTGTCTATGGAAAGTGAAGAAATTTTGCAAACCGCCTCATTGACATATCTTTCCGTCTATGTTGAAACTGTCGTTATGTCAATATATCAATACTGATATTTATTTTGTTAATCATTGTTTCCTTTTTTATTCATATGGGGCCATTTATTAGTTATATTGCGATTTAATTTTTTTAAATTATATTTTACTCAAACCTCCTGATAATAACAAACACAGCAAAAAAGAATTATCTAATTTGTTGCAGTCGTTCTGAAGTTCTGCGCTTACAAACATTTCAGAGATTCATTTTATTTATATAGATATTATACGTTGCCTTAAACCCAAAACTTGTAAATTATTATTTCTATTTAATTTTTAGTTAGTTTTAATACCATACGATTTTCTCTTTGCTGTTACTAATATTTTAAATTTTTAGGAGTATCAAATACGAAATATGGTGTAGTACCGAACACGGAAATAAACGATTAGATAATGCATATAGGGAACGTGGTAATATTTATCTATTCTTTTCTGTGAATGGTTCAGGGCACTTCTGTGGTATGGCCCAAATGGTGTCGCCTGTTGATTACAATGCAAATAGTTCTGTTTGGTCTCAGGATAAATGGAAAGGTCAATTTAAAGTAAGTATAGTAATAGCAGTTTTATATTTAAAATGTTTTGGAGAAAAAAGATTGAATAAAAATTCTAAAGAACAACTGTCTGTAGAGTGATATACTAGGTTTACACATATATACATAGTAGATGAAAAATTTACATGTTTCTTATAACTGATAATAAAACAGACAATACCTACCAATAAAATTGGTCATTATATGCTATCCTTTAATTACTAAACATTTTTTTTTTAATTGTTAGAAAAGTTAAATATTGAAAACTGTTGCCGATTAAAACCATTAAAAATTAATTAAAATTATTTTTGAGTGTTATAGATCAATATTATTTGATTTCACATGTTTATCGAAAGTGTAGTAGATTCTACACTTTAAAATATTACGATTTAAGCAAAATTACTTTAATAAAATGTTGATATTAAGAAAGGTACAGGGTGTTAAAGTGGAAATTTAAGATTTTATTTTTCGCTATAACTTTCATTTATATTCTTTCTATATTCTATATTCTCTTATACCTAAATGTTTGTCAACATTTAGGTATAAAAATTTACAACTGGGTACTATTGAATATCAGAAATTATAATTTGATGCATACTTTGATGTAGCTGATAGAGGGCGCCACATATGCCGCATGTGGCATACATTTGCACTTCACCTTTTTGTTTTTCAAGTTACCGGTATTTTTCATAAAAAATATTAGATACATTATTTTAACAAAACAAAGGTATACTTGTTAATATCATCAAAACTCAACAGTTTTCGAGATAATCGCATTTTACACATCAACTACATAATTCTGATTTAATGCAATTACTCCAGGCAACGAAAGCAAATTAAAGAAAAACATCAATTATAAAATACCTTTAATAAAGTTAATAGCTAACGAATTATTAAATAAAATAATTATATCAGCAGGATAATTAATAATAGGATTTGACAAAATAACCGAATAATTGGATTTTACATCAAACATACGTTTTGTCATCAAAGTCATAATCAAAACATTTTATTTGCAAACCAAATTAAGAAATAGTTAAATTAAATAACATTATACTTTTTGTCAAAGTAAGTATTCGATATGTCCACCATTTTCGTCATTTGTCAATATATTCCATAAAAGATCGTCTCATATTAAATAGCAATGGTTCTAAAGAAACGTCTGCAGTATGTATTATAAGTGTTATAAGTATAATAATAAGTAATTTTTTGGTATGTTTATAAGTTAAATAATTATATTAATATCTCACCACATGATCAAGGAAGATGACACTCCTCTTTCTCCGTAATGTAATGGTTGACCATCTTGTATAAATCACATATTTTGCCTTAAGTTTGATGACAATTCTTCTAATAAATCAATAAAATCATCAATAAAAATCATTTATAAAAATGTAAATAAATCTCACCATTCAAATTACAAGGTAATTCGCATATTCGTAAACAATAATTATTAATGGTTCCAAACCATACGACATGCATTTTATATATGATTTTTAAATAAACGTATTGTTTGGAACGAATGATTTTTTAATTAATTAATTATGTAATTACCTTGCAATTTGAATGGTTATTTACGTTTTTTTTATTGATTTATTGGAAGAATTGTCATCAAACTTAAGGCGAAGTATGTGGTTTTTACAAGATGGTACATCATTACATTACAGAGAAAGCGGAGTGAGACAGTATTTAAATACTTCTTTAAACTTTTCTGAACGTTGGATAGTTCATGCTAGTCATATTCTTGTGGTGAGATATTAATATAATTATTTAATTATCCCAAAAGAATACCTATTATTATACTTCTAATACTTATAATAAGTACTGCAGCAGTTTCTTTAGAACCGATGATGCTATTTAATATGAGACAATCATACTTTGACAAAAAGTTTAATGTTATTTAGTGTAACTATTTTTTAATTTAGTTTGTGAATAAAATGTTTTTATTATGACTTTAATTTAATATAAAACGTAAAATGTTTGATGTAAAATCATCTTGTTCTATTATTTTGTCAAACTTATTATTTATTATTCCGCTAGTATATTTATTTTATTTAATATTTCGTGGACTATTAATTTTATAAAAGGTATTTTATAACAAAATTCAGAAGTATTGACGTTTTTATCTATGTATTTATGTATTTATCTATGTATTTTTAATATTTTTTTTCACAAATACAGGTAACTTAAAGAGCAAAAAAGTTAAGTGCAAATGTATGCCACATATTTGGCATATGTATCGGCCTCTATCAGCTACATCAAAGTATGCATCAAATTATAATTTCTGATATTTAATAGTAACCAGTTGTAAATTTTTATACCTAAATGTTGAAAAACTTGAAAGTTATAGCGAAAAATACGAATAGCAAAATACGTTAATAGCAAATTTTTCCCTTCAAGTTGATAAAAATTTTATTTAAAAAATTTTCAAACGCTTCATTCTCTACAGGAAAAGTGCTAATAAACGTTTGTGTTCAAAATTAACTCAGTCACATTTCTTGTTTGAAATATTTTTTCTGCGGCTTACAGATTCTCTGGATGAGTCGTGGTAGTCACTTTCCTTGGCCACGACGTAGTCCAGATTTTAATCCGCTAGATTTTAGTGTATAGAATGCAATGAAAAAGCGTGTTAATCCCATAAACACTCTCAACTTTGTAAAGAAATAAATACTACTTCTTTTGAACCGCTGATGCTTTAATATGATGCTTTGACAAAAAGTTTAATGTTGATTCAGTTTAACAATTTCTTAATTTGGTATGTAAATAAAATGTATTTTGTTTTTACTTTAATTTGATATAAAACGTAAATTGTCAAATTCTATAACACTTTATGAATTATCCCACTGATATATGTAAAAAATCTTAGCGTATACTACTTCCCCTTTAATATATTAGAACCTATTAACTTTAGTTAATGGCGGAAGTATTGATATTTTTGTCGATTTTCATTCGGTGTCTGGAGTAATTGCGATAAATCAGCGTTATGCTGTTTATTTGTAAAATGCGATTATCTCGAAAACTGTGAGTTTTGAAGTTGTTAACATGTAGAGTCCGACAAACTTAAGTTTGGGAATATGACGTAGTGTATCGCGCAGACGGGCGGACCGTTTCTACCAGTGGCGGACGGAAACCGGTAGCTTTAAAATAAATTTTTATAAGTATATTCAATTAAAGTGAGAATGAATCTGTTAATTTTTATTTTTATAGTTTTTAATATTTATTAAGTTTATAGTCCAATATTAACATTGCCAGGAAGGAAGGAAGGGTTTCAACAACACAAAAATATAAGTAATTTATTTTAAATAATCAAATAATGTATTTATTTTCTAAACAGTAATGATTGTAAAGATTTCTATGTTTTGTTATATGACAAAGGAATATCACACAAAAACACGTCTATTCCGGAATTTTAATCGCTATCTTCATTATCAGAAAGGCTTTCTTCGGATGAACCAGTATTAATAAAAAATTGTAAGTGGCCCAGCGTAGAGTCTAATAAATGTTCACATTTTTATGTTAAATTTTGTATTATGAGTGGTCACTCTACCTTTTACCAAAGCTTATAATTTGTCGATAGGGTTTAACTCCGGATGATAGGGAGGCAAATGAAGTACTTTATGTCCATGTTGTTCAAGCTCATAATCTAATACATACACTGGTGGCAAACGTGGTTTATTGACTTGTATATATTTATATAATTCCGGTTAAATTGGTTTCTTTAAAGATTTTCCACTTTGATCTGCCCAGTGGTATGGTAGAGTATGGCTGCTGTGTATATATGTTTCCTCGGTATAAACAATGGTTCTACCTACAGATAAATTATACTGAATTGAATTAGCTTCTTTAAATATTCTATTAGTTTTAAACGTATTTCATATTTTTCCATTAGGACAGTCCTATTGTATTCGGGTTTTCTCCACCTGTAATTGGTTCAAGATAATTTGAAAAATATATTTTCAAAAGTATGATGGTTTAAATTTCAAATGTATCACAACATACAGAAGTGAGAACAATTCATTTGTTAAAAACAAAAATTATGTAGAATCGTATCATATTTTTTATTTGCAGTTTTTCGGAAACCGGAATCGAAATAAATTATCCAAATATTTAGTACTTTTGATAAGACACTATTGATATTCATCATAAGTTTAACTAAAACGATGTCAATAAAATATCAATTTAAAATTCTTTATCCATTATACAGTTTTATTTGTTCAGCGGAATAATTATTTTACTGTGTTACCTAAAGCCTAATCCAATTATGGTTTTCCTTAATGATTCCTTTGACCCTGGAAATCCCATTTTTTTGTTTTTTTAATTTTTAATAAATACCTTAAATAAATAGAAATAGTTAAAATATTTGGAAAGCAAATCTTATTTACTAAGAAAGTAAAATTGTAAAGGAATTGCATTTACCGTTTTTGTTAAAAATGTATCTATATCAGTGTTTTTACTAGAAAACTGTACTACCTGGTTAACATCCAATAACATACTCCATCTCTAACATAGTTTTAATATCCAATAACATACTCAAAAAATACAAAATTTGAAAGACTAAAGTGTCCTATGTTATGTGGTTTAATAAATATGATTGTAAATTTAAATATAACATTTATTTGGGTTTGAGGCCATAAGGGAGTGAAAAAGCTGCTACTCTAGCTAGGAAAGCAGTGAAGAATGGAGTCTTTTGTAATATTTATTTATACATTAAGGGATATATTTAACTTAATAAAAATAAAATTATACTGAAATGGGAAAAGCAATGGGAGAATATTGTTGAAAATTCGCAAAATACATATTTCTAGATACACCCCACTTGACATTTAAATATGTGAAAGCAGAAATATAAATTAGTATAACTTCAGTGATTACTACATATATCTAAACAAAAGAACAAACAAGAACAAAAAAATGTATCTTTAAACATAAATAAAACATTCTGTGGCCGACGGACTTGTTTCCGTGTCATATCTTACACACACACACACACACACACACACACACACACGCAC